GGGAGACGAACAAGCAGTCTCCATTTGCATAATGGTGCTCAACATGGGGCATGGATCCACATAAGACCTAAAAAAGCTTACAAAGAAAGAAGAGAACGTCTAGACTTACAAAATCTGGAGCCAAGCACAGTTACTTGGTAGCCACATGTTTTCAGACAGGCTCTTTGTGCTGGCAGTGAGCGGAGGCGCGGCCTCCTACTGGTCAGTGCTTCTGATTTGTCTCTCCGGCCCTTCTCTTGATTTCTTAAAGCTGCATTTTACACACAGATGCTGTTCTTTAAATGTTTTCTAAAACATTCTTTATGTACACGTGAGTGTGCTTGCAGGTGAGTGTGCATGTCTTAGTCAGTGTTCTGTGACTGTGAAGAGACACCGTGGCCATGATAACTTCTATAGAAGAAGCATTTAATTGGTGCTTACTGACAGTCTCAGAGGTTTGGTCCATTATCATCATGATGGGAAGCATGGCGGCACATGGGCAGACATGATAACTGATGGTTCTACATCCAGATTCGATGGCAGCAGGAAGAGAGAGATGATGTGGGATTCCCCTCGGTATGCTGTGAATATCAGTGGTTAATAAAGGAACTGCTTTGGGCCTATAGCAGAGCCAGGTGACTATACACAGATTAATAGAGATGGGTTAGTTTAGGATGTGTGTTAGCCAAAAATACGCTTAGGCTATTGGCCAAACCGTATTGCAATAATATGGTTTCTGTGTGATTATTTTTGGGGCTGAGCAGTCGGGAAACAAACAAGCAGCCTTATTGAAACAGAGAGACACTGGGCTTGGCTTGATCATTTGAAACCCCACATCTCACCCCCAATTCCTCCAACAAAGGACACAGCTCCTAATAGTGCCATTCCCAATAGGCCTTTTGGAGCCATTTTCATTTAAACCACCACTTTCCACTCCTTGCTCCCCATAGGTTTGAAGCCATATCAGAATGCAAAACTGCATTAGTCCAACTTCAAAAGTCCTTATGATGATGATCCATAGCCTATCATAGTTTCAATTCTGTTTGGAAACCCATAGTTCAAAGCGTCTTCTAGACTCATGGCAAACCCTTATCTCTAATCCCCTGTCAAGTCAAAATGAAAAAGCAGCTCACACACTCCCAACATGCAAGGGCACGGGATAGTCATTACCATTCCAAAATGAAGGGGAGGGAGCATAGGACTTACTGGAACAGAGCAAGACTGAAAACCAGCTGGGCAAACATCAATGCATCTCCATGTCTGGTGTCGAAGCTCCCTTCTGATCTGCAGCTCCTTGCTGCAGCACACCTCTCTCTTGGGCTGGGTCCACTCTCCCACGACAATGGGGTCTCCAGCAAGTTCAGGCTTCACCTTCACAGCTCCAGCCAAAGGCCCCTTTGGGCCTCCGTGCAGGACACCCCTGACACATGCCTGGCCTCAGCAGCTTTCCTTAGCTGTGAAGGGAGATTCCACAACCCCTTTCTTGTATCTTTGACCCAGAGAGATGAGTGCAGCTACCAGAGCCCCAGGACTGCTGCTCCTGTGTGGGGTGCTTCCCCCACAACCCCAACCAGAGAGTTTCTTTGTGCTATTCCCTGCCTCAGACTCTTGGCTTCACATTTTTACTCAGTAAAATCAAGTAGTTGTTTTGAGTTTTTTTTTTTTCCCCAAGATCTTTCTATGTAGCTCAGGCTTGTCCAGAAACTTGTGATCCTCCTGCCTCAGTTTCCCAAGCACTAGGGTTCACTGTGCCTGCCTGGGACCCCACCTTCCTCGGGCTCACACTTCCAGCTCTGCCAGTCTCCATTTTTTCCCCCTGCTTCTGTCTCTGTCACGTTACTTGCTTCTCTCTGGCTGGCACGTTCTTCCCTGATGAAGTGCCACGCCCCCTCTCTCAGACTCTGCATTGGTCCGCTCAGAAGTCCCTGCAGGTCCTGCTCCAAGCTGCTTCCACTGTGTCCTGCTTACTCCCCACATTCTGCGCTCGCCTCTGCTGGTGTCTGAGCACCACCAGACTCGTCACCATGGACTTGCACCCAAATCCCGAGTGTACCCTGAGCAGCGGCTCCGTGGAGGAGCTTTGGGTGTGCATCAGCAGTGTCCTCTGCCTCGAGAAGGACTTCAGTGCCCCTCACAGGAACATCCCTCTCCTGACCCCTGCCCTGATCCTCTCCCTCTTTCTCCCCTGACTTTGTTTCCCGCACTTCCCATAAGCCACCGCGCTGCCTCCCAGAATCACCGAAGCTCCTGCTTCAGGATTTGTTAGGCTCTCATTGGTCATTTGCCATCCCGATAGCTTGTTCACGTGTCATTGTCTGGTGTCCTTGGGGGACCCTTCGGACAGTGTTGTAACCTTTGTTATTGCATCAGGACACCTGCTGGTTTTGGTTGATGTCTGAGATCTGCTTTGAAGTCTGAGCCCCTTACCCCACCCTCCGCCATCCTGGAGAGCAGGTGTTTGAAGAAAACCGATTCTATTTGTTCCTGTCCCTGCATTCTGCCTTTTCCCCAGAGAAGGTCTTCCCTACTCAGCCGGTGTGTTTTGGAGCCTTGCCCTCTGAATGCTTTAGCTGTCTTCTAGTAGTTTCCAAGCAAGTATGTGCCATGAAGTCATTCCAATCTCCTTCTATACACGCGTGCTTTTGCAGTGATGTCCTCAAGCTGGACCTTGGTTTCTGAGCCTTGCTGTTCCATTCACTCTCTTTATATCTTCCCTCTTTCCCGCAGCCTCAAAGTTCCTTGTGCCTCCCCATTATACTCTCATCCTGGCTCCGAGTCAGGTGAACCAGGTTGGTCTTCACTGGCCCACAGACAGGTTTGGACCAGGCAGGCCTGGTCCTCTCTGCTCCCTCCAGTCTCAGGGGGGAGTTGGACCCATGCTTACTTCAACCCATACCATCCCACAAGTAAAACAGATCCTGAAAAGTACTCCCCCCCCCATCAGTCTGCACAGCTATGCACAGGCTGTGTGAGGCAGGTAGGAGGCAGAGGATAAAGGTGTCCTTGAGCCTTCGCTCTTGGGGTCGCCCCAAATTTCCCACCATGTCACACTCTTGAGTGCATGTCCTCTTTATTGTAGATCCTTATTCCCAGAGCTCCCGGAAGTTCGCCCTCAAAGCTGGTCTCTAATGTTTCCAGAAAAAAACAAAAAACAAAAAACGAGGACTTGGCCCTTCGATGTCCCCATCTTTGCTGATGTCACCTTCTATTCTCTATTCTTTCAGGAGGCCAGGGTCCAAACAAGATGGAGACTCTTCTTGCAGCAGGATTAAGGTGCCTCTCACTGGGGCGGCTTCCATGCTGGCAAATGATGAGCCATGATGTTAACAAACTGGCCGGAGCGCCAGGTGCCATGGTAAACACCCGCCACAGGGGATCAGAAGAGCTGCCCTGGGCCTGCATAGATGACAGCTGCCTTGAGCGTCTCACAGGAGAACGTTCACGTTCTAGCACTACTGAAAACCAACAATGTTCGTCTGGGAGAACTCGGAGAACTCAGAGTTCTTGGAGTGAAACAAATCTTAGCGATAGACAGAACCATCGGAGACACTGTCAACAGCCTCTTGTGAAAACCAAGCCATGGCTGCCGCCTCTGGGTGGTGACATTCTGGGTTGCATGTCCCCCCGCAATAACAAAATGCTGCACAAAGGAGGCAAAGCCCACAGCAGTGGTGACTGCAGTAAGATCAGTTTTGCAGTGTCGCCCTGCACCCCGCGTCTTGTTTCCACAGAGCAGAAGGCCCAGCAGTGCAGCAAGGGAGAAGCCTTCAGTAGCCGCCCGAGTCTGGGACTCCATCAGCAGGTCCTCTTAGGAAAGAAGTCCCCTGTACACAGGACACACGAGGACAGCAGGCATAGCTCCAGTGTCCCCACTCAACAAAATGTTCATCCAGGGAAAAAGCGCTACTGGTGTCACGAGTGTGGCAAGGGCTTCAGTCAGAGCTCAAATCTGCAGACGCACCAGAGAGTTCACACGGGGGAGAAGCCCTTTACCTGCCCTGAGTGTGGGAAGAGTTTTAACCAGAGCTCGCATCTGTATGCACATCTGCCCATCCACACGGGCGAGAAGCCCTACCGGTGCGACAGCTGTGGGAAAGGCTTCAGCCGGAGCACAGACCTCAACATCCACTGCCGAGTCCACACGGGAGAGAAACCTTACAAATGCGAGGTGTGTGGGAAGGGCTTCACGCAGAGGTCACACCTTCAGGCCCACGAGAGAATCCACACAGGAGAGAAGCCCTACAAATGTGGAGACTGCGGCAAAGGCTTCAGCTGTAGCTCGAACCTCCACACGCACCAGAGGGTCCACACGGAGGAAAAACCCTACAAGTGTGACGCGTGTGGGAAGCGCTTCAGCTTGAGCTTCAACCTGCATAGTCACCAGCGAGTCCACACGGGGGAGAAGCCCTATAAGTGCGAGGCATGCGGGAAAGGCTTCAGTTCGGCCTCCAGCTTCCAGAGCCACCAGCGGGTCCACACGGGAGAGAAGCCGTTTCGCTGCAGCGTGTGTGGGAAGGGCTTCAGTCAGAGCTCGTACTTTCAAGCCCACCAGAGAGTTCACACCGGGGAAAAACCATACAAGTGTGATGTGTGTGGGAAGCGCTTCATCTGGAGCTTGAACCTCCACAATCACCAGAGAGTCCACACGGGAGAGAAGCCCTATAAATGTGAGGCGTGTGGGAAAGGCTTCAGTCAGGCCTCAAATCTGCAGGCCCATCAAAGTGTCCACACCGGGGAGAAGCCGTTCCAATGCAACGCATGCCCGAAACGGTTCAGTCAGGCCTCACACCTCCAGGCTCACCAGAGAGTGCACACTGGCGAAAAGCCCTACAAATGCGACACGTGTGGGAAAGCCTTCAGCCAGAGGTCCAATCTCCAGGTCCATCAGATCATTCACACTGGGGAGAAGCCGTTCAAGTGTGAGGCGTGCGGGAAGGAATTCAGCTGGAGCGCGGGACTTAGTGCTCACCAGAGGGTCCACACGGGTGAGAAACCCTACACATGCCAGCAGTGTGGGAAAGGCTTCAGTCAGGCCTCGCACTTCCACACGCACCAGAGGGTCCACACCGGGGAGAGGCCCTACATCTGCAGCATCTGCTGTAAGGGTTTCAGTCAGAGGTCACATCTGGTCTACCACCAGCGGGTCCATACGGCGGGGAATCTGTAGGATCCCTGTAAGGCGGCATCTCATCTCCCTGGAAATCCGTGCTGCTGATTGTCAGAGGTTCCTCAGAACCCAGAGCCTTCGGAGACTTCACAGGGGAGACGCGCTTGTGTTTGGGAGATTGATTCTTTACAAATGTCGGGAATCACAGATGGGAGGAAAATTGCTCTCTCAATGTACAGTCATCACATACAGGAGTTGCCACCCTCGGGTTATGACACGGCCCGGCAAACCTCGGCGTGCATCCAGGTCTCTGAAGACAGGCTGCAGGAAGGGCTTTAACCAAAGCCGGGCATTGGCAGGTGTTGACTGAGCGTCACTTCCTCATAGGAAATGCTCCTCTGTATTCTGCTATGCAGAGCTGTGTGTGACTCAGGGCCCCATGATTCCTGAAGAAAGTGGAGAAGGGCTCTATAAGTAAGACTCGTGTTTGAAAACGCTAACCAGTCCCCAGCCCTGCATTCATACTGCTTCATAGTCCTCAGTAATCCTATGAGGAGCCTTAAATCATCCTCCAGAAGGCATGGGGCTTCCACACGTCTCTAGTGTGTGGCCTACCCCATCTAGCCATGGTGCTTTGGACAACACAGCAGCTCTGTACTTAGGATTTTTAGGATTTGTACTTTGCAGACTAAAACAATGCTTTTTTTTTTTTTTTTTAAATCCTGTATTTATCAGACTAATAACCTGAACTGAAACACATTCTGTTGGAATTTTGGGCCCTGAGTTCATTGGGGCAGGGTTTTTACGGTAACCATCACTGCAGTGTTTTTCCAAAGTATTTATTATTGACAAAAAGGCTCTTAGTAAACGTGAATGGTTCATTAGCTGCTTCTCCTCCTTTCTCCCTCGTCTTGGTCAGACCGTCCCCCCTGCGCTCTCTTGTTGAGCTTCTGTCCACTGCTGAGCTTCTGATTTGCACCGCTCCCACAGATTCTCCAAGTTGTATCATGTATAAAGGACTGTGATTTCTTACAGCTTCATAGGCTGTAAAGGTCAAGGGTCAAGCTGGGTCTGACTGTGTCATCCGATAACAGGAAGTGTGCAGGAATGATCTAGGGGCGGCTGGAGTTGGTGTCACCCACATCGTGGCTCATGACAGCTGTTAACAACAGTTCCAGGGAATCCAATGCCCTCTTTTGATCTCTAGGGGCAACACACACACACACACACACACACACACACACACACACACACACGATGCATATATATGCAAGCATTCATTCACGTAAGTAAATCTAAAACCTTGAAGACACAGGAAGAATGCAGGATCCCACAGTGACAACCTGAGCTCCATTGTGAGGCAGTGCCCTCCTGACGGTCACTGCTCCACATCTTGCCTCTTAAATCTCAGTGCTGACCGAATTTGCTTCTAATGGCTGTGATAGACATCATCTCTACAAAGCACCTTGGGGAGGAAGGGCTTATTTTACTCTTCCATGTCACAGTCCATCCCCGAGGGAAGTCAGGGTGGAACCTGGAGGCAGGAACTGAAGCAGAGGGCATGAGGAAACAATGCTTACTGGCCTACTCCCTATGGCTCAATCCGTCTACTTTTTTCCTTTTTTCTCTTTCTTTCTTTTTCTTTTTCCCTTGAAACAGAGTTTCTGTGTAGCCCTGGCTGTCCTGGAACTCACAGATTGGCTTGAAACTCAGAGGCCTGACTTCCTCTGCCTCCCGAATGCTGGGATTAAAGGTTTACAGCACTACCTGGCCCAGCCTACTTTCTTATACAGCCCAGGACCATCTGCCCGGGGAGGGGGCACCACCAAAGTGAGCTGGGCCTCTGACGTCAATCTTTAATGAAGAAAATGTCCCACAGACTTGCCTACAGGCTGATCTGGTGGCGGTGTTTTCTTAATGATGTTTCCTTTCCCCACACGACCGTAGTTTGTGTCAAACTGACAAACTAATTAGTACACGTACACATTCAAGCCATGGCAAGCAGATTGCAGGAGTCTTCATTTTTTGTCTCCCAACCCCTATTGCAACTTGTCTAGGAGAGGCAGGAGGATCAGAAGCTGAAAGTTGCCCTCAGGCAAGAAGCAGAGTTTGAGACTAACCTGGGCTACACAAGACCCTATCAGGGCTGGAGAGATGGCCCAGAGGTTAAGAGCACTGGCTGCTCTTTCAGAGGTCCTGAGTTCAATTACCAGCAACCACATGGTGGCTCACAATCGTCTATAATGACATCTGATGCTCTTTTCTGACGTGCAGAAATATATGCAGACAGAACACTGTATACATAATAAATAAATAAATAAATAAATAAATAAATAATTCTTAAAAAAAAAAAGACCCTAAAAAATAACTAAATAGAAATAAAGAAGGGAAAAGAAAGACCAGCTGTGGGGGTCCACACTTGAAAGCCAAGCACTGGAGCAGGTCAGTCAGGAGGGTGTACAACTACAGGTCAGAGTAAAGACTGTCTCAGAAAACAAAGGGGGATGATGACATTATTGGCTACACCCTAGTTAAGGAGGTGATGGCTGCAGGGTAACTAGTTTATTAACCGAGGACAAGGGCGCCTGCTTCCGACCTGTAGGGCCCAGGGCAAGGTGTTGTGTTCAAATCCATGACCTGCACACGTTATTTTCCCGCCTCGGATTCCTGGAGCAAAGGACTCAGAGGACAGCAGCTTTGTTTCCTGTATTCTTCTGGATCTTGTCCATATTTGTGAGCATCTTCATGTAGGGAGCAGCTCAGTGTTTTCAGTGGCTCACCCAGGGGCCTCCCTCTCAGAGTGCTTCCTGAGGCTCTTTGCTCAACACATTTTAATGTTATTGTTTATTTGTTTGCCAATTTTTTTTAAAGCTCATTCCTCTTTGAGCTGTTTGCGTCATGCCAGAGGTATGAGAGCTCGTCTTACTGCAGGAGTGATTTTTGGAGAGGGGTCTATGTACCACTGATCTCACTGGGGATGTTTTGTTTGTGGGATCCGGTGTCACTGTACCGTCTTCTGTCCTGGAACTTTCTATGTAGCTGAGGCTGACTTCAAGTCACAGACTCACTTGCCTCTGCCTCTGAATGCTGGGATCAGAAGCGTGATCCACCATGACTGGTCCACTGGATTTGTTTTTATTTTATAGACAAAACTTACAAGTTTAGGAATGCATTGTTGAGGAGGGGACAGGGCTCAGTGGTAGAGCCCCTGCCTAGAATCCCCCAGTGAGGGATCGAGAGCTTGGCTCAGTGGTAGAGCACATGTCTAACACTTAAAATGTCCTGGGTTCAATGCCAACATCTCAAAGAAAATTCTTGAGACTGGAGAGATGGCTTACTGGTTAAGAGCTCTGACTGCTCTTGCAGAGGACATAGGTTGGGTTCCCAGCACCCACATGGTGGCTCACAACTGCCTGTAAGTCCAGTTCCAGTATCTTATGTTGTCTTCTGGCCTCTGAAGGCACTGCATGAAAAGTAAGTCTTTAAAGAAAAAACTCCTTGATTTCTGCTGGTGTTAGGCAGGTAGCAATGAATGGGAGGTTAGTATCTTGTAATGGAAACTGCAGAGCTAAACATTACAGTATCCAAAAATTTAAACACTAAATTGGGCTCAGATCTCTGTAGAGTTCAAATTTAGCCTGGTTTGCAGAGGAAGGTCCAAGATAGCCATGGCTACACAAAGAAGCCCTGTATCCAAACACTAAAAAGAAAAAGAAAAAAGAAAAGAAAGAGGAGGAAGAGGAAGAGGAGGGGGAAGAAGAAGAAGAAGAAGAAGAAGAAGAAGAAGAAGAAGAAGAAGAAGAAGAAGAAGAAGAAGAAGAAGAAGATTTACTCAAAGGTTGAGGGGCTGGTGAGAGGGCTCAGCAGGTAAAACACCAGCTGTCTAAACCTGATGGCCTGAGTTCAGTCCCAAGAGTCCATGCTGCACAGCTGTTCACTGATCTCCATAAGCTTGTCCCCACCCAGCATACACACACACACACACACACAAATAAAATGGTGAGGGAAGCCAGGTATGATGGATCCCACCTGTAATCCCAGTAAGTGAGAGACTAAGGCAGGAGTGGATCCAGGGGTAGCTCTGGAGTTCATATCCAGCTCATCCCAGCAGCAGTTAGAGAATGCCTGTTTGTCCAGAGGTCTTCTGGGAGACACACCCATCAGAAGTCACCCATAGGGAGCCAGCCAAGTTCCCATTGTGGATTTTGAAATGTCCCTGTGTGCAATGCCGGTCCCTATCCTGTAGTGTTGTAGAAACAGTCCTGCCATCTTGACCACCCAGGATCTTGAGGGAGAAACGCCCTCCTGTGCCACCATTAACAGGCTTCCAGGCCATCGTGGGATATTTTAGAAGCATTCTGATACTCCTAAGACTGTCAACACAGTTTCAAGGGAAGGTGTGTTCATGGAAGTCTAGGGATGTGAGAATGGGCAAACCAGAACCAGAAATGCTACCTCAGACTTCTGTAAATAAGTAGACAATGTATTTCCTTGAGAAAAAGATGAATTTTGTTTATTTTTTCAGGTAGAGTTTCATGTATTCCAGACTAACCCCCACATAACAAACTGAAGATAACTTTCAACTCCTGAGCTCCTGCCTCAACCTTCCAAATACTAGGATAACAAGCTTGCCCCCGTACAATTCCTCTATGTGATGCTAGGACTTAGACCCAAGGCTCCATGCATGCTGGGCACACACTCTGCAATCTGAGTATGCATTGGTACAGCTCCTTTTGTCTGGTTGCTATGGATGCTGCTGGTTACCCATTGAGTGATACCATACTCAGAAGCACGGAGAGGATAAAATAATTATTTCTCTGGAAGTCTGGCCTCTGGGGATTTTCTTTCTTGCCTATGTGTTCTAGACCCCTGGAATCTTCCCAGAATCCACCCACCCTGATTCCTGGCCCATGGTAGAATCCCTGACCTTAGCTGGCTATAGAAAGAGCTGGTGATAGTGAGTCTTTTGCTTAGTGAACCTAGTGAATATACAAATTTGAGATCCTAGAAATTTAAGCACTCACCAAAAATCATGGAGCAGATGGTGTTGGCCACGACAGAGTGAAAGAGAAGGACTGGGTTCAGCAAGACCCTTGGAAACAAGAGGTACATCATCAAGCTCTAGGTGTCCCGTACATTGTTCCTCTGGTTGATTCTCAGAAGACAGTGCCATCTCCTGGTTGACCTGTATTTCAGAAATTGTGCTGTGTCTATTATTCTCCAGGCATCTGCCATGGTGTGACTCCTTGTGCATCTGCTCTCTCTGGTCTCATCTCTGATCTCTCTTTGAGAGTCTGTCCTTCCTTCATGCCCTTTGCCTTAGTTACTCTTCCATTGCACTGCTAAATCACCATGACCAGCACAGCCTAGAGGAAAAAGGGTTCACAGGGGCTTACAGTTTCAGAGGTGAGGACATGACTGTCATGTTCACGATCCTGAAAGCAGGTGGACAGTCATGGTGCTGATGCAGTAGCTGAGAGCTTACATCTCATCTGTGTAGGAGGTAGACAGAGCGCTATCTGGGAAAGGTATGGGCTTTGGAAACCTCAAACCATTCCTAGTGACACATCTCTTCCAACAAGGCCACACCTCCTAAACTGTCCCAAATATTTCCACCAACAGGAGACCAGGTATTCAAAGATCTGAGCCATGGGGGTTATTCTCATTCAAACCACCACACCCTGTTACTCTCACATCCATCTGTCCTCCCCACCAAGACATTCGTGTCTCTGTTGACTCTTTCTAGTATCCCATATTTCAGTTCTATATTTTTTTCTGTGAAATTTCTATCTCGAAATATATCTTCGGATCTTTAGTTTTTCATCCCCTGTCCTGTCTCAAACCCCTGAATTGGTCTCTAGACCACTCTATCAGGATCTTTAGCACCCACACTCTCCATCTCTGTATCTCTATTGTGTTGACCTCCTTCACAGACCCCTGGGTCTCAGGCCAGGGTTTCCAAAACTTCACCACCAGACCCTAAACCTCCACTCTGATTCCATCCTTCTGGCTGCATTTTCTGGTACAAAGTCCTTTGTGGAAGTCAGACAGAATGCCTTGAGGAATTTTCAAGTCTACTCTTTGGCCAAAAAAAAAAAACCTAATAAAAAAATCATGTCTAAGAGTGGTATTGGGTGGGAACTTCCCTTCCCCTACTCTAAGGACCATTCCTTACTTACCACATCTTGGAAGATGGATCAATGATGGCCATGAGCCCCTGTCCAGAAGAAGCCTCAACCTGACCCATTAGGGCCTCACAAACCATCACATGTCCACCCAGGGCTAGAATAGGCTGAGGCCCACGTAAGCTGTGACAGTATCTCCATACTTCCCCTCAGCGGCAGAGTAAAGGACCAAACCTCACTAGCTGACCCAGTGATGGGTCCTTCCTCTCACTGGATCACACTCCCCAGTGTCTGGTCTCATCAGGAAAGAACTCAAACTTGAGCTCTGTGGTCACTTTCCTGAGTGCTCTGATCCCAGCTTTTCTGAGGACCTTCCAGCTTTGGGGTTTATGAGTTTCACAGATTCCACACATGAAATGCTACTCTCCATGATGGAGAACACAGTATGTCTACAAATCTCCCCAAATTTCTACTAGAACCCATCTCCCTACCTGCCTTCCCTCTGTTCCTTCTCAATAGAATTCTAGAAGCTTCTCTAGTGCCACACTATGACTAGAAGAAGAAAATTCCCAACCTGATCTGGAGATGCCTGTTGAGCCATCTACTTGCAACCCTTTGCTGCCTGTGAGCACCGCTTCCTTCTCCCACTTCCTGCCTCTTCACACTGACCTCCACCACATCTCACCCCTTGGAAGGATTTAAGTAAGCTCATGAGGTCTGTTTGAAAATGTTTTCCAGCAGAAACCATTGTCCAGGAGAGAGACAGCCCTTGAGCTGGAGAGACCCCAGGCCCAGCCTGGCAAGATTCAGGAGAAGACAGAACACCATGGTCCTCCCTTGGCTTGATGCACATTCCCCTGTTGTTCTTGACGGGTTGTCTGCTTGGTTTGTTGTCCTATTTCTGTTGTTGGCGGAGGAGGTGTGCCAGGAATCTCCCTTGACAAAGTCCTGGTAACTCTCCCTAGGATACAGGGACTTTGGTGAGACAAATGGAAATTTAGTATCTCAGAGGTGATTTGAAAGCTGCCTTTTGTTTGGCCAGTGGTTACTCAGAGACATCTTCCTAGTTGATGATGTTAAATAAA